AATCTCGTACCATTGATGTATGCTGTCTCCGAAATACGCATACAAGATCCCAGTGTGGCCATTCATTAGACCTCACCTCGGCAAAACGGAGAGCATACGAGATACACCCTCCGTGTATCTGGTGACCCGATGGCCAGTTTTCGTGGACTGGCAGGTGTAGGCATAGCACTAAGCATGAGGGCGGAACAAGCACTGCGAGAGTGGATCCCCGTCAACAGTTGTCTATATGCTGTTCGGCTAAACGGCTCCGTAAGAACTCGGAAGGATAGGGACACACGTCGTTGCCTTTTTGTCGTTTCTGCCTACGCTCCCACCGACTGCAGCTCAGATGATGTGAAAGATGAATTTTACAGAAAGCTGTCCGAACTTCTTCAGAAAGCTAAACGCTCAGACATAGTACTCGTAGGGGGTGACTTTAATGCTCAGATAGGTAGCTTAAACCAAACAGAAAGGCATTTAGGTGGATATTTCGGCATTCCGGCACAGCGAACAGATAATTGTGATCTTCTGCTGCAACTGTGCTCAGACAATCGCTCATTTTTAGCAATCACTAATCTTAAGCATAAGGAAAGACGTCCCTTAACATGACGAGCCTCTGCACGAAACGAACGATGGACTCAAATAGACCATATTGCCATCAGTCATCGTTGGAGAGGGTCGGTAGAAGGTTGTCGCTCATTCTGGAGTACCTGCTTGGACTCCGACCACACCCTAATACGGGCACACATTTGCTTGCGCCTCACTGGACACAAAAAAGCCACATTAAAAAGACCATTAGAACTGAGTTGAGTAACGTGAAAACCAAAAGTAGGTTCCAGGAACAACTGAGGTTACACAGGTAGTTCTGAAACGAGGCTGACCCAGATGTTGCTTGGAAAGATATACAAACAGCTGTGGAAACAGCAATGAAATCTATTAGTGACTTAAACCACAGAGTTACAAAGAACCAGTGGATTTCTTCAAAGTCTATCACACTGATGGATTCTCGCAAACTCGTCCCATCAGGTTCCGAACATGATGAACAGCGACAACAAATCAGATCTAGGTTAAGAAAAAGTCTAAGAAACGACCGTGAGCAGTGGTGGGCAACGAAAGCAAAAGAGATGGAAAAGGCGGCGACTATAGGGAACACAAGACAGCTTTACAGACTAATAAAAGAAACTGGAATTAATAAGTCAAGTGTAAGTGAGATTATATCGGAAAAAGACCACACCCTCATCTGCTCTCAGTCCAGACGTTTAGAACGATGGGCGGAACATTTTAGAGAACAGTTCAGCTGGCCTTCAGCTACTCTACAACTACCCTCCATTCCCAGACAGTGTGAATGGAACATTGAAGTAGGTCCCCCAACTCTAGCAAAGTTCAAAAGGCTATAGTTAATCTGAAACGAGGAAGGGCAGCTGGTCCAGATGGATTGGCTCCAGAGGTCTTTAAGGATGGTGGTCCAATTTTAGCGATTAGGTTGACTAATATTTTAGCTAAAATCTGGGAGTTAGACATTATTCCATCTGACTGGTCACAATCACTTATCGTCCCAATATATAAGAAAGGGTCAAAATCATCCTGTGACAACCACAGAGGGATTAGTTTAACTAATGTGGTATCTAAAATACTAGCCTCGATAATTATCGGACGCCTAAGACTCGTGAACTGCAAACACGAGAGAATCAAGCTGGCTTCAGACCTGGTCGTGGTTGCATCGACCACATATTCACCATTCGTCGGGTTCTAGAACACAGGCATACTTATCGACGTCCGACAATGGTGGTCTTTCTTGACTTAAAAGCAGCATTTGACTCGGTAGACCGCGAGATTCTGTGGCAGTGTCTGTCATTGAAAGGCGTACATCAGAAGTACATAAACCGTGTAAAGGCTCTTTACTCGAACACTACTAGTCGAATCAGAGCTTATGGCGAACTGTCATCTACTTTTGCAACCTCAAGAGGTGTCCGTCAAGGCTGTCCACTTTCTCCATTTTTGTTTAACTTCATCATAGACCTACTGATGGAAATAACATTCTCGTCGACTGAATTCTCGGGTATTGATCTCCTTCTAGGAGGTCCACTTATCGACTTAGAATACGCAGATGATATAGTCCTGTTTGGTGAAGACGCTGACAAAATGCAGTCCCTGATAGCATCAAGCAACAATGCCATAATGTTTGGAATGCGCTTCTATCCCTCTTAATGCAAGTTGTTGCTTCAGGACTGGCCTGCGTCAACACCTGAACTAAGGATAGAGAGTGAAGTAGTCGAACGCGTCGACAACTTCACTTATCTTGGAAGTCTGATCAGCCCTAATGGGCTTGTATCGGACGAAATCTCAGCACGGATTCGGAAAGATCGCTTGGCTTTTGCCGACTTGCGTCATCTATGGTGAAGGCGAGATATCCGTCTATCAATTGAAGGACGAGTATACTGCGCGGCAGTCCGTTCTGTCTTACTTTACGGCAGCGAAACATGGCCTTTAAGAGTAGAAGACACCCGTAAGTTACTAGTATTTGACCACAGACGCCTTAGAAATATTGCTGGCGTCTTTTGGGATCACCGGGTAAGTAATAGTGAGGTTACACGCAGGGTATTAGGTAATGGTGGTAAATCAGTTGACGAGGTTGTTAATCTTCATCGACTGAGATGGTTGGGCCACGTGTTACGTATGCCTGAACACCGATTACCACGACGTGCAATGCTGACAGGTGTTAGAGATGGTTGGAAGAGAATTAGGGGTGGCCAAACCAGAACGTGGCATCACTGCTTGAAGTCACTAACCTCTAGTCTGAGCCATGTTGGTAGATGCAGACTACTTGGTTGAGGTCCGCGTGACTTTCGTAACCGATGGTTGGAGACTCTTGGTGACATGGCTCAGAATCGATCACAATGGCGTCGGTGCATACACTCCCTATCTTCCCTTAAGCTAAGAGATTAAAATCACTTCATATCTTCCTTTCAACTAACTAATTCTTTCTTCCTGTACTGTATCCTTTTGCAATCTTTCTTTATATATTACCACCTTTGACCTAACCACTCCTATGAATCCGGTGTTCATCTTGCTGTGCTAATGAGGTATGGCAACCTTGGCCGATGCATATATGTGCCTGGTCCTACGTTGTAGCTGACTGACTGAATACGGGTCTCGGATAGACAAGATGTCTATGTTGAGGCTTCATAAATACATAACGAAACGTGATTTTCCGATCTGCAACAACGTGCGAACGCCACATGTGGTTTCAGAAAAGCTGGTTCATGATTCGTATACGGTGGTAGTACTCAACTTTCATTTAGATAGGACACGATTACCACCATGGGCGACAATAACGATACAAAATTGGGGATGACGGGAAACCCACATGCGGCACTATGTAGAATAAGAACGGAAGTTACCGAAAAGTTATATGATTTGTAAGGAAGCGAATTGAAGAGAGAATAATTACTTGGTCTTTGTAACCATTCAATTTGTTTGCTGGCTAGGATAACGGAAGAGTGACTAAACCGAACCAGGCTGTGGAACGGCGTTAGTTGTGACCTCATGGTAGCCAGTGACCAAGACCAGCTCCTTGTGCTACTTCTTCCGTCAGGATCACAAAGCCCATAGGCACCACTGAATTATGTCAGGGTTGCCCAAACCCTCCACAGGGACCCCCGTGCCCACAAACCTGGTTTTATGGTCCTCTCAACTCCGCAAAAAATATCCCTGCCACAAAAGGTCTATCATTAAGACTGCGCTGAATGTGGCCACATACGCGCGGTTATGACAGCTTTACGAGAGGAGAAGTGAACTCCCAACACACCTGGCTGTGCCACAGCATTTAGTTCCATCATTGAAATGCCACAGTAAATGAATTCGAACTTATAATTAACATGTTCTGATCTAACCGACTCCAATTTTAGCATGCTTCAACGCACAGTTCGAGTGATTAAAAATGGTATGTTACGAGCTAAAGTCTTAAATCAAATGATGAAACTGATAATTCCCTTAAACGATAGGTGTCCTAACAACTTATATTAACTACAATAACGGGGAATCGTAAATAATAGTAGCACAGTAGACAGACACGGGATAACATCAAGGACCACTGAGCTAGCAGGTATTCTTAAGGCAATTTCACAGAATGCAGACCCAGAGTACGCTTTATACTCAACTGAAAACGGTCAATAACAAGTCCCCTATATCAAAAAATAATATGAATGAAATATTTCTTAAATCTTGTGGACTACTACTGAAATGATAAATAACCTGCTTGGATTGGTTAGGAGCCCTTTGGCTAGTGTACGATTATGAACAGTAGTGCTTGTGTGAATATTTTAGAACACTGCTGATATAACATTAAATCATGGCAAAATACGTCTTCTTAAGTACTAAAGTGATATCCTGACTTCACATTTTATATATCAAAACGACCCTTTACCTTTCCCTAGTGTCCGAAATTTTTCGAAAAGCACTGGTTGTCACCAGTATGATATTATCACGTAAATGTGTGATTAACTAGCCTTCTATTTAAGTCTTCAGCTTTAATGTTATTTCACACCTCATGTCTCGAATTCACTTTTTGATGTCTAGTTTTTCACATTACTCTTGAATAAATTATTATGTTGGGTCCTTTAGTATTCATTATATTACTTACATCTTGCTATGCCGTAGTATAGTAGCTGACGCACATGTGTCATCATTTTTAAACCAATAAGTTATTTCTTATTATTATTAATTAAACATAAACAATGGTACAAGGACTTGTCAGATATATATGCGCCACACAAAGCATTCGATTTATGTGAGGGTTGAAATACTACTCGGGTGCCCAAAGTTTGTGAAAGAGCTCACTAACAATAGGTGTACGTGAGACATGTAGGACAATAGTGAAAGATCTAATCAGTAACCCTAATCGAGAACCTACGAAAATAGTTAATTTAACGTACTCATATCTACAGAAAAATACATGATTAACGGGTTTTTTCAATCAAGCACGTTGATAAACAAGCCACCTAATTTAAAAATCAAGATATGATCGATTTACAATGCATGTTTAAATAAAAATTTCACAAGTATGATATGGTTATGCCAGATTGCAGAACAAAATGCTTGCGCATCATGTAGAGGTATGCAACACCTAAAATTTAGACAGAACTGTTAGTTCCACAAAAAAACATTGGATGACAAAGTAAAATATGAGGACATGTAAATTCCTTTTGTCTTCAGCTTCTTTTTCCTTTATTATTCCATTACACTCATCATTTTAATAGGGAGAAAAGTAATAAGTACCACGTCGCCTGAAATTATAGAAGAAGTAAGCCTTAGAATCATATAAAATAAGGATAAGACCTATTAGTGTTCAGTATACTTACCGATATCGTGGGAATCGCATTCGGCCGGCATATACCGGACGGAAACTAATAGACATTCCTCTACCGCGTGCGCGACCTCTAACAAACGGAAGATGATTTGTCATGGACATTCCAGGGACGTTTGTTCGTTTAGGTAGAACTTTTAACTGCCGACTCCGAAAAGATGAATCATCCAGAGCGATTGCCGCTTCGACAGCGTCACGAGTATCAAACTCAATGTATGCGAATCCCTTAGGGTGCCCAGTGAATTTGTTGCACAATATAGTAACACGGTTTATTGGTCCACAACTACGAAAATGTGCTTCTAGTTCATCGGCCGTCGAACCATAATCAACCTAACTTTTGAATGGGATACAACAGTGACTTACATTTCCAACGTATACAGAGCGCAAGTCAACTTCAGTCTTATCCTCATCTGACATGTTTGAGTTATTTGGTTCTGCAGCAGAAAAGGACACTTGAGATGCTAGAAAAAAGGTCGTAAGTGTACTGTACAACAAAAGTATTTTAAAAAACTTAAATACATAAGCTTATAACCACAACCCAAGGTGACAATGGGCTGGTCAAAATATTACGGGAAGTATGTCAACCAGCGAAAGACCGCATTTTATGGGTAATTTTAGAACAGCTGATTTTTTACAATTGAGAACTGTTTTCAGTTATATTGTCTGTGTATAAACTAATTGTTATGCAAACACGAGACCAGTGAACACTCAAATTCGTGATTTTGAAGTGACTGACTCGTTAAGTTAACGAATCCCAAATAGTGATGCTAGTTCCCGGCCTCTAAAGCCTGATTTGGGTGCACAAGAATGGGACATTACACTAATCTATGACTTCATATATTGAAGCTAACATGAGAAAGGAGGAATCAGATTATCAGTGTTTTGTCGAATTTTTCAGCGTTTAACAAATCGTTTAGCTTGTATATCGATTAACCAGTCAGGTATCAGTAGAACACCAAGACTTAAAATTTCATCCAACGAACTAGTGATCATTTCTACTGCACGCCTGTAAGGTTTGGTCCTTCCGATGATGTTTGACTACCTTGCTCTTTATCTCACTGCTGTCGAAGGATTACTGAGGCTCAGTGAGAATGTAACTGAGATGCAGTGTTTGGGCTGAATGATAGTAATCCAATTAGAATGTCTAGAGACACTTTTATATCTTAGTCATATTTTAAGTTTTACTACTGGGACATCCAAATCGTTCATTATTTGCTGACGCTGGGAGATAAAAGAGCGAAGTAGTCGGCCTCTGATATAGCTGTGCTACCAATGTGGTCTATATACGACAGTCATCTGCGGGTCCATCACGACTCCGTTTTTGTTTTTGTGAAGACCGTGCAACTTCGTTAGTCAAAACGTAAAATATTAATCCGAATGGAAGTTGGTGGTGAAACTGCTGTAGTCAAAACGGGTGAACTTCCCCATCTGGAGGTACTTTCGACTTTATTTTTGAACTGAGTCAGTCAGCTACAACGTAGGATCACATGCATAGATCCAAGTTACCACGCCTCATTAACACTGGTCAGCGTTGTGCCCTGTGGCTTCAAATTAGTGCTGTACGTTTAACCGAAACGCCATCTCTATTTAACATACTATTGTTTGATTACTCCAGTTCCCTCACAATATAATCAATTACCTTGTAGTTTACTTTTTATCCATATCGTATCGAGATCAAAGTGCCAAAGTGAACATGATTTAAACATCCAGCTTCAAATCAATACGTTTGAAACCTAACTCATTTTGATTCGAGAAACGAACCATTAGTGACACTTACACAAGAATTGAAGTTCAGTACATAAACCTGGCGAATTACAGCTAATATTTTGAGTTCAGACCGAAAAATAATCTGCAAAACAGCGAAAGGAAGACTAAGATATTGATTGGATAACGAATCTTTCAAGATAAGGAAACGGAGCGGACTCGACTTCGCATAGATCTGAGCAAAAATGATGAGTCGAACTGTAATTACTGAACAGAGGGCTATATCTTGTCAGCATTCAGTGATCGTTGTGATGACTGGATATTATGAAGAAGTTTACAGCGACTTCAGATATGCGGCGAAACGTAACTTATGGAAAAAACTAAACTAAGCCCCAATTTCGTGAGGCCCGGTTGATGCCAAATGTGTTGCCGGGGAAAAAAAGGAGTTGATAATAGACGATATGTTAGTACAAGTTGTGTGAAATACATAGTTTTGCTGGTTAATTTCAGTGTGAGGTTAAAGTGGAGCCTACTGAACCCTATACAAACCCATGCGAGTGATTCGGAGTGTTCAGCAAATCCACAGCTGTCAGTTTGAAGAAGCTATGGGACTATAGCTTTCGAAAACATAAAATAACGTGACTCGCGGAGCGTGGGGTATGTCACTTGCATCGGACCATCTAATACTTGATGCTAAACATGAGTATTTCTCCCACAACGATGGTTGAAAATACCAGATCACTTGAAACATAACTCACTTGAGATTGGAGACCTTTGGATAACGCGGCGTAAATCATGCAACTTATTGGCATCGGCTTCAATTTCTTTGAAGCGTTCTTTGATGGCCTCCAGCTCCTATAGCAATGTAAACGTCCTTAGTATTACTTACAGCATCAAAATGCATTTCCTCTGTTACGCCAACATCTTCCTTTTCATTTTCATCGACAAACTCATCTCCATGGAACCCCTGGTCACCATCCAAAACATAATCACTCATCCTTCCAAACCGCTAAAGGACACGGCCCGAGTTGACTTAAACAGTGCTAAACCATTGTCCTTTGGACACAAATGCATTTGGCTTTCAATATTTTTTACGAATTTTTATAAACTATTTAGTCGTTCACGTCTAAAAAATTAAGCACTTCATGTACTATTGGAACATTCAGAATAGTGCGAATAAGGAGAGCTGGGAAGCACAAAGTAAAAGTGAGTCAAACAACCGGAAATATCACACAATTCGCTTGCATTTATGAAGAAAAGTAATAAACAATAATCGATAATTGCAAAAGACTCAGATATAAACTATCCTGAGATAGAAACTCAACATGAAATCTTAACCGCGAAAAGTTGAAGCCAGAAGAGGAGACCAAGAAAAAAAGACGCGGTTTAACTTTTGAAAGGACAGGAGAATGGAGGAGCTTTCCTTGACTCAGCAATGTTAAACGTCGACAGATACAAATTCAGACATGCTTTGAGATAACGGATTACATTTAAAGAGTATACGTAATTACGAAAGTCAAATGAACGGTAGTGTGTTCGCATATTGTGTTTAGGAGGTTAAGGAAAATGAAGGCTTAGCAAATGCGAGATTATTACTGATTAATTTAAAAACCGTGATCAAATGACCTCTGGTCCTACCTCATGAACAGGAAAATAGATTTAGTTCAGCCTGTCTGCCATCCTACGCAGGCTTTGCGATCCTGGGGATCACCTTGGTTACGGTTCTTTGAAACCTTTGCGACGGCTCACTGTCCTGTTTTAGGCAGTGGATAGTCGCCGGTATGCAATATTCGGGTTTAGGACGAATGAACACGGTGTACGAAGTCGAAAACGCTTTAGAATCTACACAGTTAAATGCTCTGTGTATTTACCCTAAGGTTCTGATACTTTTGGTGGCTATCATACAGAAGCTTTCAGTAGTTGTTATGTTTGGGCTAACGATTAATTTAGGCCGTTTTTTGACTGGACAACAGGTAGCCCAATGTTACGGTTTATGTGCAGAATTATATCCTTTTTAATTTTTAATAAAATTTTCCTGTCTACTACAATAACACTCCTAATCCCATAATTGAAGGTTTGTCATGTTGTGATCATGTAATCTATAAGATCTTACGTCAAAGTCAAATAATTGTGTACACTGACTCGTTCTGTCGTAAAATCAGCGATATATGGTCTAACATTTCCGAAGAACGCATGTCAACTGAGTAGCGTGTAGGATATCTAATACAAGATGCAATGGATTTTATATAGATTGACCATTATTGCATGGCTCAGTCATGCCATTCCGATTAGTCGTCCTCGCTTGAAGGATTACTGAGCTTCTCCAAGTATAAAATGTTGAGCATAAATTACAGAAACCACAGTTTTAACTACAAGGATCATGGAGTGTAGATCCAATACCACCCTCCATCAGGATGAATCAGACGTTGGTTCGATACCAAAAGGAATGGGATTGTCGACCGACTAAATTCAAAACACTGTTGTATAGACACATGATAAACCTAAGGAGAAGCCGCAAAAATATCTAAAGTAAAGTAGATTTCAAGTTCAGCTGTGGAGTTTGTTAGTCTTTTGAACATGATAACTGTGAAAATGTCACAGGCATTAGAAGTCTGACAACGCTTTAACCAGTAACACCTCCTTCTATGAATCGTTCCCACCAAATGAAATCAAAAGTGAGAAGCGAGGAATTTCGAAGGTATATTTGATAGGTTATCAATATATCAAGGAACGACTGATCTAGACTGGTTGGCGATTACTGAGGATGTTGAGTACGGCGTTCCCACTCGTGATCTGGTGCAGATGTATGACCTATCGCCTTTAGCTAGGTGGGTCCATTAAAACTAATGTGGTCAGCATCCAATGTCAAACACTTACAGAGCTATTTATTTTGGGGATTTATTTAACGCTACACACCATTCCTCCCTAACGTGGTATTGACGACCCTCATACGTGGCCAGCCAGAAGTTCAAACCTAACGACTTTTTCGTTGCTAAACACATTTCTGATAGTTTGCTATGTTAAGCAGCGTCTGGTTGTCTTTCCTTACTATAAGGGACCATGTAGTACAATATACCGGTAAAAAAACAAGGTACAATGAAAACTTATGTTCAACCCAAGCTTCTTCGTTGTTTTCTGTCCTTTCCAGCCGTCCTGGATGAGCAAAATGGGATATGTTATTGCATGTCGAATTACACTCGTACGCGCGTAAAGATTCAAAGCATGAGAAAAAAGGAAAAATAAACTGATGCATATGCTATAGTGTAGGAAACGATTGCTTCTTCGTTTTTCTCAAAAACTTTTATTATACACATACTAGCGAGCGTATTACCAAACAAATTGGTTTTTAAGGTAAATATATGCATACCAAAATTGTTTTTTAATATTAAATATTATACAAAGATAAATCGAGATGAAACAAAATATTAATAGTGTTTTGCTTGCGCTGAAGAACTTTGAAGGGTCCTTCATAAGCTGATTCGAGAGGTCGTAAGACGAGTGGAAGGACGTCTGTCCACTGTGAAAGGTTCGCCCCCGATAGGGAAGCTTTCAGCTGTTACTGAAAGCGTTCTACCAACCTGTCTGCTTGTGAGTGGTGGGCGGTCATTTGAAATGTGGTTAGACAACGGAAACGTCCGGATTCTACTCGGCGTCCACTGTCTGATGTGATAGTTGGAGGGCAGCCAAAGTTTTCTACCCAACGTTCGAAGAAAGGGCGGGCCACTGTTTCAGTAGTAATTTTTTTGGTAGGTACTGCTGCTGACCATCAAGTGAAACGGTCTACGGCAGCCAAGAAATAAGGGTATCCATTTGAATCTGGTAAAGGCCCTACCAAGTACAGAGGAACACGGTGGAAGCTAGCATCGGGAGTTTTGAAAGAGCCTAAGGGAGATTTATTGTCTTTAATCACCTTTGATTTCTGATAGCTTACACAGGAGCGTGCTCGCTCCGTAACGCCTTTATTCATACCAAGCCAGCAAAGTCGTTCAACCACGAGCTTGATGGTTGCACGAACACCTGGGCGAGAAAGCTTGTGCAGCGTATTGAAGTTGCGTCGATAATGTTTAAGCACGATCGGAGGATCCCAACTTGTAGATGTTTCGCATAGTAAGGTCTTCTTACCTATCCCCATCTATTTATTAAGCAGTTTTAGAGATGTTGCAGATGACTCGAGCTGAAGATCAGTGTCTTCTTTTTGAAGCTGAACGTGTTTAAGAAGGTCGATTGGAAACTGTTCAAGGAAGGTATACAAGACAAAGGGTCTGTAACTACATTGTTGGCGCCAGAAATGTGCTGTATATCTGAAGTAAACTGCAAAGTATAGTCCAGTTTTCGAGACTCTTGGGGCGAATACTCGTCTGAAGATGGGCTTAAAGAGAATGTCAGAGGTTTGTGATCAGTTAAAATAGTGACTTCTCGACCTCTGGTAGAGTGTGGAAAATTCCTTACCGAATATGCTATGGCGCGATTTATTGTCTAGCAACCCTCTCGAAAAGAATTCCAAAGGTTGTCACGTGTGGTTAATCCATTGTTGTAGGACTCCTTGGATTGCTGATTCGGGTGTGTCCATTGCGACACTAATGGGTGCTTGGATGTCCTGATGTGTACATATGGTTGCTTTTGAGATAAGCTCTTCAACTGTAGAAAATGCTTTCCTGGCGGTATCGACTAAGTTGATGGATTTCGTCGGTTAGCGATTAAGTAAGGGACGCGCAGTTAAGTGAAGACCATCCATAGAAACTCACAAATCTGTTCAATGTGCGTAATTAATTAATGATGGTCGGTTCTGGGTAATCCAGATTGGCCGACACTTTGCTTCTGAAAGGTCGGATGCCTGGAGCATCAAGTGTGTCCGCGGAAATCCAAGTATTCTGTCCCAATTCGGCATTTCTGAATGTTTACAGTAATTCCATGCTTTTGTCGTGATTCAGAGACAACGTCCAGATGCTGTAGATGAGGTGTCTGCCCGGACTTGCTATCAACACACGCATGTATGGAGTTGGGACCTCGATAAACGTCATCTATGAATCATTGAAAGGTCTGGGCGGCAGTTTTTAGTCCGAAAGACATGCGCGAAAATTCGTAGAGACTGAAAGGGTTTACATAGCTGTTTTGTGAATGTTGTCAGTGGCCATAGGAATTTGGATCTACGCTTTGACCAAGTCGATTTTCGAAAAAAGTTGTACCTTACAAGGTAGCTGTCAAGTCGTGAATGTGGGGCAACGGATAACGATCGGGAATGATTCTCGCATACAATCGCTGATAGTTTCCAGTTGGTCGTCGATCGTTGCTGTCATTTTCAGGGGCCATGTGTTAGGAGGATCGCCATGGGCTGTTTGACGGCCGAATGATCCTTAAATCTACTATGTGGTTGAATTCGTTTTCGGACAACCTCAACGTTTCGGGAGCTAGTTGGCGCGCTCGCGATAGTACGGGTGGTCCTGTCTTCGTGATGTGGTATGTAATATTGCTGGGTACACATGCCAATCTCATTTGCGGTCGGTATATATGAGAGTACTTATCAAGTAATGGTTGACAGAATAGATCTGTCGTGTGTCTACGACTGGAGACAATCTGTAACCGGAAAAGAAAGTTACGCAAATAGACAAATTGGTGTTTCCGTCTACTAGCCTCCGTTCGCGCGTTTCGGTGAGTAGATTGTGGTATTGCAACAGGTCTATACCAATGATTGGCAAAAAAACATCTGCATCAACGTAGAATCGGTGAATGGGTTTGCTTAAACATACGTTAAGATAGACGTACCTTCTACCATTTGTGGCGATAAGCTTTCGGAATCGATTTGTGAAGTCGGTCAATTGAATCTGCGTCAGTATCGAAGACGTAGCCAAATTTTGTTAGCACGTATATCAGAAGGCTGTTTTTCATGGCTATGTTTGCCGTTAACGCGTACCGGCTGAGGAGTTTCCCAAATTGTTTTTTGTATCGGCGGACTTTGAGTTCGGAAAATTGAAGAGATTTCTGCAATTTCCAGAAGATTTTCCGTACTGTTAATGATACAGGCACAGGTCTGGGTTATCC